GAACTAGAGTCCTGGAGATGATGAGGGTCATGGAAGATGAGGGCTGTAGAAGATGAGGGCCATGGAAGGTGATGAGGATTGGGGAAGGTGAGGTCTGGGGAAGATGAGGGCTATGGAAGAGGAAGGCTGGGGAAGATGAAGGCTATGGAAGAGGAAGGCTGGGGAAGATGAAGGTCGTGGAAGGTGAGGACCTTGACTTCCTGTTCTGATTCCAGAAGCTGGGCAACCTTGATCAGGTCTCTTATCTCAGCAGTTGTGTGCCAGTGTGTACAAAATGAAGGAGTAGGATCACATGGGAATCCTCTACTCATAACTTATGCCCTATACCATCCTGAAATACTAGATAAAGTCTTGTATAGATACAGTTATACTTAGAGAAAGATTTGGAAGTAACTTATCTACATATTATATATATTTATACATACATGCACACACATTTATATGTGAAATTAGCTCCGATTTTTATAACAACTGAGAGTTTCAGAACTTTTATTATTCAACCAAAAGAAAGGAAGTTTTTTGGAAATTGTTTTAGTATGTATTCCTATATGTATTCATTTAGTTGCAGAAGCAGTGGTAAGGTTATTTTACTGAATCTTTAGCAAAGGAGAAATTCCCTCCTAATCTCGCTACTTCAGGGAATTGGAATCATCTTTATTCAAATGCCGATTGCTGCTTTGCATTTTTTGGTTTTATTTGTTTTTTTTTTCTGTTGTTGTTGTTATTTTTTTTTAACTCATAAGCTTGTGTTCTCTATTCTCATGTTGCTGCTCCAGCTTTTTGGATGATATTTTTAACGTTTGCCCAATATCCGTTGGATGTACATAAGAGTCTTTGCCTATTAGATGTTCATGTTCAGTCAGTTCCACCCAGAATTAGCAAACGATAGTATAAACCTTTTGTTCTTAGGTGATCTCCACTACACAAATTCTCCAGAATAAAAAGATTTGGCCGACAGTGGTCACACGGTTTTTCCAAACCCCGAGTGTTTAGCTCCCTACAGTACTGCACGGCTTCAACTCAGGAACTAAAGGCTGAAATAAATTTATTAGGGTATCTCATGGAACTATGATCCTCTTCTGTTCTAAGTGGCTCTCAATAGGTCGGTCGCCAGGCAAAATTTGAACTGCAGAAGCAATGAGTCATTTGATGGAGGCTGCATTTGTTATTGGTATTGATTTAGGTCCTTTTAGTGTTTCAGTATATACAACGTTTCTAAGCAGAGAGGAGAGGGTACTCTCGATTGACTTGGCAGTTCTCGGGGCTCAGGATTCAGGAACCAAATGGGATGGGGATGCTTAGATCAGTACCTGGCCCCCTCTAGCTGGAGTGGAGAAGTTGCCAAAGAATTTCATTCCTGGTCCTAGGAGATGTCCTTAGGGTGGTTGCTGAGCCTTCCAATTCCCAGCAGGAAGCCTAGCTCAATGTTCCAAGGTTTATGGCTTTAAGAATGCAAATGGGGCTGAGAGATTCCTCAGTTCCTGGATCTCAGACAGTTCCAACTCTGAGCACTGCCTTCCCCAAGTGTTTCCAGAGAAGACAGCCTGAGGGAGAGGAAGTGGTGCTAATTAAATCCTCCCTCTGTTTTCCAGGCACACGAGCCTCCAGCAGATGTCTGTTGTTAGGCACGCTTTCACAGAGTGCACAAATACAGAAGCAGGCTTCCCTTCCCAGTGACACAAACCTTCCTTCATGGGAACTTTGGAAATGCATTTCCTTCCAACACCCACTGTGAAGGAGATGACCAACCGGCATAAACAGAGCACAGAACTGCTAGCAAAGCCACAGTGCCTCTCTCTCTCTCCTTCTGCCTGTCCTGTCTCTCTGTCTCTCTGCCCCCCCCCCCCCATACCTTTTATTCTCACAATAAAGGTCAGTTTCAGCCTTTGGGAAGCTTCCTTTAAAACATGACCTGGCTATTCAAGGAGGGCCTTCCTTGAACAACCTTGGCGTTATGGTGGGCAGGCAGGACTCAAAGGCAAGCCAGCAGAAGAACTGCCAAGTAAGCTCTTAGATGGTGCCTCCCTACTCTGCATCCTCAGAAAGGTTGGTGTGAAGGAACCAAGATGGCCAGGGTTGTGAGGGTCAGCAGAGAGAAAATGGCAAGTGAGCTGCATACGGTAATCCAGGAGTTTCACCAACTGTATTTTCTACTGAATTCAGCCCCCTCGGAGTGACATCCACAGTTGCCAGAGACAGCTCTGTTTACTCCTATCATCCTGTCACGAGCGCTAATAGCTTTGTCTTACGCCCAAGTACTTAGAGTTAGACAACGCCCTCACGCCACTTCACATGGAGAGATGTGACCCAAGTGTATTGACCTCCAATAGGGCTCCAACGGCTGACCAAAGAAAGGATTCCAACCAAGGCTACCTAAGTGGACTTTATTGAGATTATGGTAGCATCGGCGAGGTTTCACTTCAACGGAGCGTGGTTGGCTCACAGGTAGTGGCATCATAAACTATCCACCCCTGCGGCTTGCTGCACAACTTGCTGCTTGCTTGGCTGGCTGGAAAGTCCCCTCTCCCAGCGGTTGTTCCTGCTTTTAAATCCTTGGCTAGGAGCCTTGTGACTTTTTAACTTTCTGAGCTTCCCCAGCCTTGGAAGCCCTGTGAGCCTCTCTTCTCCCTCCCACAGACAATGTTTCAATTAGGAGGAAAGGGCTCTAAGACGCTGTGGGATCCTGCTATTTTTACATCTCTTGAATGTTCTAGTTTGTCTCCGTTTTAAGGGTGAAAATATGCTGGCAAACGAGGCCTCCCCCCCACTTTCTGGCATTTCACAGGAACCGAGGAAATGGAATTAGAGCCACCTTTTATTCGATTAAGAACATAAAGGCAGCTCTGAGAATAAGACGTCATTCCTAATGGTGAGCTAGACAAGAGGCCTGCTTCCAAGACACATTAGTAGCTGGCCTCCTGGAAAGCCTATTGGACGACTGGACAAAGTTCCTAGGTACAGGCAATGTCCTTACGTGGCTTTCTTGCTCTGCTAGGAAACAGAACGCTAGATCAGCAGACTTCATATTGGGCCTGCATATTCCTTCTCTTTTTACTATTTTTTTTTAAAAAAAACTTTACAAATAGTAATCAATTTATTGTTTTTACTTAAATGTTAAATGATTATTTCTTTTTTAAATATTTATTTATTTATTTATTTATTTATTTATTTATTTATTTATTATGTATACAATATTCTGTCTGTATCCTGCAGGCCAGGAGAGGGCACCAGACCTCATTACAGATGGTTGTGAGCCACCATGTGGTTGCTGGGAATTGAACTCAGGACCTTTGGAAGAGCAGGCAGTGCTCTTAACCGCTGATCCATCTCTCCAGCCCCAGATTATTTCATTAGTACCCAGAAACAGACCGAAAATGAGAGGTACAGACAGACAGCATCATCATGAAAACAGAACAGCTTTTATTTAACATTTTATTTTTTTTTCAGCTTCAAATATTATGTACATACATCCATATATGTACATGCATTTGCAAATACATGTGTGATAGCTACTTCCCTTCTCTTTGATTGATTTTAAGACAATTGAACAATATGATTCATATAATTTTCTTTTTCTATAAAATTTTTTTGGGTATTTTTCTATGATAAAGTAGACTTTATATTTTAAGAGCTGCATTGTGTTTGACTCTAAGGCATATGTTTCATTTGGCCAATTCTCTACTAGTAAATACTTAGCTTTATTTTAGTTATTTGGTATTAAATGCAAGGTTGTGTGAATGCTTAATGTTACTATTTTCATACACAGCATTTCTCTACTAGCCATAATTGTAAGTGTTACAGCTCTGAAAGGATAGGTATCCTGGCAGCCAGGAACCAAGGGATATCGCAAAATCACCCTGCACAATCAACCTCGCACAAGAGATTTATTGGGAAAGAGTAAGAGGGGGCTGCCTCTGCTTGGGTTAGGAGCAGAAGAACTGAGCAAGAGGCAGACTTATATAAGGTTTCTTAGGGGCAAAACTTCCCAGAGTGGGAATCCGTGGGATTTCAGGTCCTTAGGTTGGGACAAGCCCAGGTATTGGTGGGTTTTCAAATCAGGAACTCAGACCTTTTATCCTACAATAACGATGTGATGAGAAAACTTACGGCCATGGAATATATGGGATTTTTGGATGTGTGTGTTTATGTGTGTTTGGAGATTTTTCCAAACTATTCCATTAAAATAAATTTTTAGAACTGGGACATTTGATTTGAAAATATGCCAGTTCCAGTTGTCCTGTTTTAGCCAGTGTTCTGTTGTAATGAAGAGACACCATGGTCACTGCAGCTCTTATGAAAGGAACCCTTTAACTGGGGTTTGCTTGTAGTTCCATAGGCAGCAGGAAGAGAGAGAGACAGAGAGACTGTGCCTGGATTGGACTTTTTGAACCTCAAAACCCAATCCCTGGTGATGTACGTCCTTCAACAAAGCCACACCTATTCCAACAAGGCCCCACCTCTTCAGGTAACACCACTCCGTGGTGACTAAACATTCAAATATATGATGAGCCTGTAGGGGCCACTCTTCCTCAAACCACCACACGTCCTCACGCCAATCCCTGCAGCTGATCAGAGCTACATTGTCATTGCTTTTCACTCAAATATAAACAAGGCCAGGTAGAGTTTTAGACAAAAAAATCTCAGAAAATCGCAAAAAGGAATTACCTTGGAGTAATTTCATGGTACATTTCCCCTGTTCTGTTCTTGTTCTTGTGTTAAAGTTAAGGGAACAGAGTGACTCGCAGGCTCCTTTTCTCTGTCCCGAGAGTACCCACTTCTCTCCTCTGGTGAAGGCCCTTCACAGAGATGGCATTTAGACGTGTGTGCTCCTGCCCTATCCACTGGTGCCTCTATTTGATCAAAGTGTGGCTGTTTCCCGTGAGGGAAGACCTTTTGCTCCAGATCTTTAGTTTTAACCTCTTTTTTTCTACAGGCAGGATGCAGATGGCATGCTTTGTCCTCCAATGAAAGGGTTGTTTCATTTTGTTTGCTTGTTTTAGGCTAAAGCAATGTCAACGATTGGGAACTTTGAAGGATTCCAGCCAGTGTCCCTGAAGCAAGAGGGAGATCACCAACCTTCTGAGACTGACCACTTAGCCATGTACGAGGGGGACTCGAGCAAGAAACCAGGACAAAGGCGGATCTCAAGACAGCCGAGTGTGACTAAATCGACTCTTTACCCCAATCCGTATCACCAGCCCTATGCTTCACGAAAGTACTTTGCTACCCGGGTAAAACCGCGATTTTAAATACTCTTCAAACTTTTCTTTTGAAATCTTACTATCTCTTCTGTTCTGCATTGTGCCAAGTTTTTACACATTTTTACAAACCTTTTGTAATAATGGCTATAATGCTCATGCAGTTGTCCTTACCTCCTTTGTACTGATGAAAGGTGTAGCTTCAGACAAGCCAAGTCTCTGGTTTTTATCTCTCAGGCAGCCTCAAGGAGATAGGGTTCCTGTAACCTTATATATTTGTGTGTATTGTCCTCCTCCGAGGCAAAATTTAACCTCCAAGAATTAATGACTAGAGAATCTCTAACATGGTAGCGGGAATGTAAAGCTGCGAACTTTGTTTAAAAAAAAGACATAGACTGTGAAATGGAAAATGGTGCTGAGGCTGAGCTGAATCTCAGGATGGAGGCTGGGATGCTGGGATGCTGGTGTTGTATCATGGGAGCAAGAGCTTGAAACCCTCAGTTTGCAACTGCGGCTAGGGGCTCTGAGTTCTCACTTGAGCAGTGGACAAGAAAAGGAAATGAATGAGGACAAGGCTTATGTACCGGGTATGAAAGACTGCTATTAAGTTGCTAGCAGAGATAAAGTGGAACATACTTTCTGGATTTTTTTTTTTAAATCTCTTTGTGTTTTCATTTTTTTTTTTGTACTTACTGATCTTTTGCAATTCTTTGAAGTTCTTATAAATACAGTAGCCATAATTTATGGGAGCAAGATAGGGGAATGTGAACGATGACAGCAAAGACAGTTCTCATGAATACGTGGGGCACCTTCTTCTTAAAAAATAACCCCCTTCCGTTTCTTCCTTTTCCTCCTTTCCTCCTTTCCTTCTTTCCTTCTTTCCTTCCTTCCTTCCTTCCTTCCTTCCTTCCTTCCTTCCTTCCTTCCTTCTTTCCTTCTTTCTTTTGGGTGGGAGTGTTATATACAGGGTAGAGGACAACTTTTGAAAGTTGATTCTGGCCTTCTACTTTGAGACAAGTTCTTTCTTGTGGAGTTCGCCTCTACTCTGGTGCCTACTCCAGGCCAGCAAGCTCGAAGGCTTCTGGCCAGTTATCTTGTCTCCACCTCCCACCTCCCAATAGAAGTGCTGGGCTTATTCATGTGCCCCCCAATGCTGAGATTTTTGTGTGGTTTCTGGAGATCCCTCTCAGGTTCTCTGATTTGTGTAGCAAAGTATTTTTATCTGATTGGCCATCTCTCTGACCCTTCAAAATATATTTTTTTCAGTCCAATATCATAGGTAATTGGAAGTCAAGAGTCTGAGACTATTTACAAAACTTAGCAGATCCTGATTTGGTGGCTTTAACGATATATACCTTTGTTTAAGATGAAGTTCTAACTAAAGCAACTGAATGTGTGAGTGTGAACCCATATGTGTGTATTTAAACATTACATAGACTCCTATGTGCAAGGCACTTTGGTAGGTGCTATGTTATCTGTGTTTATGTGAATGTTTTTGCATATGTCAAGCATATGGTCTGTTTTCCAAAATATGTGAACTTTATTGAATATGCAAAGTTAAGTTGAGATGGAACTGCGAAGGAAATGTAAGCATCCTTTGGAGTTTTGGGATCTTGATAAGGATGATGGCAGGGTTTGCTGAGAAAATACAGAACAGTGGTGCAGAATAGAGGCCAGTGATAGAAACTGGTGCAGCTATGAAAGCAGGCAGCAAACCGATGCAAAGCTCCTTTCTTTGCCTGTGCTGGCAGTCCTGAAGCTGGCATAGGTAGAACAGTTGGTGGGTTAGAGTAGGAACAGGGAATATCTCTTGGTAAAGTAGAGCCCATGAGGAAAACTGACCTCTGCCACCAACTCTAATCTTTGTGGCAAGTCACGGTTAGAAGCTGTGCCTTTGCCAAGGCATCAGGGATAGGAGAATCCTAGGGAGGAAGTCAACTGTAATGGAAGGAAATGTTGGTATTAATGCTGCCCCTTGCCAGCAAATGAGTCAGGGCAGTAATTTCCTTGACCGTGCTGTAGTGCATGGTGACCTGAATTGATCTTCAGCAAATAAAACAACTGGTTTCATGTCGGTCTGCCTTTCGAAATTAATATGGATGTCTCTGCAGCTAACTCCCATTTGGAAACAAACAGGGAAAGCAAAGCTAAATCATCTAGTTCTTATTTAGATGAGCAGACACTGACCCGTACTAAATGTATTAATATGTAATAAATGTCACTAGATATTTACAGTTTCTTTAAAAAAAAAAACATGTGTCTGTATACAACCCTGTGAGGCAGGCAGGAGAAAACAGACCATCTTCATCTTAAGAATAAACATATAGAAGGCTGCAGAGATGACTTGGTCGACAAAAACACTTATTGTTCCCAGCACCCACATGGTGGCTCGCAACCATCTATAACTCCAGTTTCAGGGGCATCTCATGCCCTCCTCTGGCTTTCACAAGCAGCAGGCATTCACATGCTGCATCCACACACATACAAGCAAACGACTCATGTGCGAAATATAAAAAAAAATCAATCATTTATTTAAGAGTGAACAAGTTTCAGGTGAATGAACTCACCTAAATTTAAGAACTTCAGTAAGGTGCTGAGTCCACTGCTCTTCCTAGATGATTGCCATACATTGCATTAAAAAAATCTGTCTGAGTGAAAGGTGAGAGTTGTACTACTTTCTGAGTACAAAGATAAATATTTAGAAGATAGCTTGGTACTATATTCCTTTCACAAAGTAAGATTCGTGGGGTCTTTAGCCTCCCTGCCCATGAATTCTTAGCCATGTTTACAGACATGAGTTTCCTTCTGTTAAGCAGGTCTTAAATTCAGCTAAGAAGCTGTTGGCTGTCCAGCCAACTACTGTTGTCCCCACTGCATAGTCTAGTCATTATTGTAGCTCACAGGGTTCACAGCTATGTAAGACTGTTTCTGGATTGACTCCTTTATTAATCTACAAAGTACCTCCCAGTTCTTTGAAAGCTACCCAACAAGGAAGACGTTTCAAGGTCAGTATGAGCTTGCTTTCTCCAAGTAAAATGACCAAAGTGATGTTTTTAGCAGTAAACAGGGTCTTACCATTAAGTTCTTGTGGTTGACCAAGAGTAATGACCTTTGTTGAATTGTGCGTCTCTGGGAAATCCATAACCAAAATTTCAGTAGGAAATATCCCATACTTAGCACAGGGATTTTTGTCTGATTACCTTTATATTATGGGATAAACATTATTCCAATAAACATGTTTTTAAAGAAATGAGAAAATGGTCTAGTTTTGCTAACTTGCAAATCAAATCCAAAGATGTTTTAAGAAGACAGAAGTGTGAGTGTGTGTGTGTGTGTGTGTGTACATGCACACGTGTGCATGCACATATGTTTGAGTCTTAATTTCTTTACCTGAAAAGTATAGATAAAATACAAGCTTTGTAAAGAGCCCTAACTGAACTAACTTTGTCAATATTCATAGAGTATACGACACATCTATAAACATTTCAAACATTGTTATTTTCAGTACCTCCTCTCTCATTTTTACTTGCATCCACAACTCTATAAATGGTTATAGAAATGGCAACAGGGTGCCTATGACCTCATCGAAGTCTCTGGGCTGAGATATAAATGTTGACACAAGGGTCTGTGGCAGTAAAGAGGAGGATGGCTGGCTTTCTCAAGGAATAATTAGGTAAGACCATGAGGCTTGAAGTTTCAGATGTGTGAGAGTTATCAGAAAGTGATGACTTCCTAGATCTGAAGTGAGATCTCAGATGTCACGGTCCAGCTGGTGAACAAATTAGATTCTGCGTTTCTATAAACTTTCTGCCAGTACTGATGCGCTCTTGCTGCTCAAGTTACTCATTTCCAGCAGCACTTTCCTTTCCCAAGAATCTACTGATCAGCAAACTGAGGGCTAGAACCACTTTCCTGGCTACCTCTGTATAGTTCCGGGGTTCTCTGCCACAGTCACAGTCAAATCAACTTCTGCTGAGCTAAGAATTTAAGGTATATGTATGGTAAATTGGGAAGAGCACTGAATGAATGAGTCAAAAAATTGTTGCTGAAGTATTTTATTAAAGGACTTTAGGATCATAACCCAAGAAGTAATTTATTGATAAAAGATTAGAAAATGTAGATAGGCTAAATAAAAGTCACTGTAATCTCACTGTTCAATACTAAATAAAAAAATCTACTGTATGTGATCTTATACATTTTAGGGAAGATCTTTTTTTGCTTTTCATATACATTTTATGTGCAATTAGAGTTATATACTAAATATTTCATATAGTCACAATAATTTTGTGGTATCATTTTTTAAAATCAGTTCCATAGAATCTCATATTGGGAATATATACTGCAATGTGTTTAATTTTAAACTCTATATTTAGACTATTTTATATTCATATCATTGATCTAAGGAAGAAGGATATTTATTGGCTTTCTGTTTGTCGGGTGCTGGGAATTGATATGCAAGGAGATAAGGAGGAGAATGATCAAATCTATAAGTTTTAAGAGGGATTTGCAAAAAAAATGAATGGCATTGAAATAGAAATTCTTGACAAATAAGTGTTCACTTTAGCATAGTAATATCAGACGTTATACCACACACCTAAGTACTAGTTCATAAAATAAGTTATTAACCTCTTAAAACCCTACTGCAGTTTGCTGGTCATTATTATTATATGTGAAAATTATGGCTACATTTAAGAGAATTCCTAAAGTACCTGAAGGAATTATTTCTTGTCCAAGGTCAACCAGCATCTCGATGATCATGCCATGACTGGGAACCATGCATGCAATGCAGGACTCCTGACACTGTCTCTGGACTACATGTGACCTTAGGACATGAGAGAGGTCCCAGAAGTGAAATTTTAAAACCCTTGCTTTCAGTCTATTTGCATTCCTTTTCTCTTGTTGTAATGTGTCTGCTATTAGTGCTTAGATATATCTAAAAAAAGGCCTCATGCCTTCTCCATACAAAAGTATCCCTCAAAGCTAATAACTGGAGGTATATTATGATAATCATCTTGGTTGTGGAGACTGATGTTCAAAAGCAACTTTTTATGAAAAGAACAATGCTTAGCCCACATGGAGAAAGATATTTTTAAGCTCCCTGTGGGGCTCTGTATTTGCAGATACCTTATCAGAAAGTTGAAAGCAATTCGAGATGGAGAATTATCTCTAAATTTATACTAGAGAATGTAAATTACATACAAACTAATGGGACTAAAACTATTTGATCTTTTAATATTTAATTAATGGTTCCCCATGGCCTTTTTATAGCCTGTGTTCTATTGTGAGCAGCAAGACTTTAATAAGCAGGTTCAGGACTTCCCATTGTGTAGTGAGATGCCATTGCTTCCATGACACTAATTTGGCTTTCATACTCTCTCTCTTTTTCCCTCTCCTCTTGCTAGAGGGTTCCCGGTGACTTGCCCTCACATTGGGAACAAATACATTTATTAGTTTTATTCTTATTGCCTGTGTGAACTTCCATTTAGTTTAGAAAATAAACAGGTCACTGGGCAAGAGGTTGTTCAGCTCAGTGTGTGAAACTCCTTGAGGAGAGTCCTAAAGATGATTTGTTCTTTTGTGAGAGCAGAACCCCAGCAATGATGGGATAAGGTGAATTCTCATTTTTTTTTCAAAAAAATACAAACTTTCTTTTCCTTTACAGATCATGGCTAATCGAGCTAATGCTCTTACTTAAGTGTTTGTTGCAAAATGGCCTCTGTCTAGCCCTCATAGGAGCCACAACAGAAATGTGAGAGATAGAGTCTTTAAGATCTGTCTTTTCTGAACCACTGCTTCTTCTTTCTGCACACAAGGAGCTTAGTATATGAAAACACTGACAAAGTCATGGGTATTGTTTGGGTTAGCATTGGCCCCGGGCTAGCCTAGATCATGGAAATGCAGATACGTAAGTCTTTGCAATTCTGCAAGAAGGTTTGCTTTGCCTGTAACTACACAAGGCTAGAATAAGAGACAGTAGTGTTGTGAGGAGTGGCGGGCTGTGTCCTGCCACCCAGCTAGCTTTATACCCGAAATAATTACACGGAAACTGTATTCTTTTAAACACTGCTTGGCACATTAGCTCTAGCCTCTCACTGGCCAACTCTCACATCTTGATTAACCCACCTCAAACAATCTGTGTAGCACCACGAGGTGGTGGCCCACCAGAAAGGATCCTAACCTGCTTCCATATAGGTGAGGAGAGCTATGGTAATGGCTCACTTCCCTTCTTCCCAGCGTTCTGTTCGGTCTACTCCGCCTATCTAAATTCTTCCCTATCAGGCCAAGCAGTTTTCTTCATTAATTAACCAATGTAAACAACAGATAGACAAATGACCCACCTCCATCACAGTAGAGTTGTGAAAGGTGGTGTATTTGATCATAGTTTCCTATTTGTCTTAGACTGCAGTCTCAGAGCTAAGTGCTTACTTGCATTAAGCATTTGATCCTTGAATCTTGGTATAGCTTTTCCCTTTTATCATAAGCAATAATGAGAATAATGGTCAAGGCTTTCATTACTTAGTGTTTGTTGCTGTTTAAGGTACAGGGTCCCATAGGATCTCCCAGTAGTTCAGCTACAGTAATCATTATCATAACAATCTACCAAATTCAGAAACTAATAAAGAACACCATGATAACTTACCATGGATTCTAGAGAGCCATAAGGATAACTGAGACCAAACCTTGGATATCCAAGGATATCCAAGACACAAAGTGCCTATATATTCTTAAATTTTTTATCCTAAATTATTAGATTTAAATTTATTAAGTAAAAATTGTTAATTAGCAATAATAAAAGTAAAGGGAGCACATTTCTGTGTTGGGCTACATTTTGTTCTATAGTTTAGAGAAGGGGCCTGAGCAGTGTTCACACTGAGAACAAAGAATGGTGCAGACAATGACAGAGCTGTAGAGAGCATCACAGCTTTCCATAGATAACACACTTGAGGGTTTAGCTTTTGAAAAGGTATACAGGAAAGCATCACTTCCGTGGTCAATTTCCATCTCCTGTTTTCCCATCCTAAGGAAACCATCATTGATATGTTTTCTAGACCTCTTTATGCTTACTTTAGCTGTGTGTCAGCCAACAGGAATGTACTTCACATATTTCTGCATAAGGAAGGCAGCCTACCTTACCCTCTCCTGTTTTTTCTTTTATTGATATACTTTGTTACTTCTATACCTTTGCTATACTCTATTATCTGAACATATTCTATAATAGCCTCTTGATCAGCATTCGTATGTTGCTCCTCATTTATTGCTGTCTGCAAACAAGACTAAAAAGAGTTCTTCACCCATGCCATTTTAAATATGTGCAAGAATTTCTAAAGTATAACTTCACCGAGATATACCTGGATCAAATACAGATCATGCTTTGGAAATTGCTTTGGGTATGGAAGATAGTAAGGTTTTAAAGGTTCATACAGTATTATATTAATCTCACATATTTTTTGGTGAATTGTATGACATAAAAACACTCAACAAAATGCTTATTTTAGGGTTATTTAATTACTCTCCAATTCTACTTACTTTTTTTTTCTGAAAAGTATTGGTTTCACAACCGAGTGATATTTGTGAGGCTAAAATTATGTAAAGAACGTATGAGAAAATACCACTGCTGAGTCACAAAACAGAGCATTGTATTTCGGAAGACTTCTGAAAGTGGGCCCCAGAAGAATCAGAATGCCTCAGAGGAATGTGAGGTTGGGCAAAGGGAGAATTAGCAGTAGGCTACAGGGTAGCCAGGGACCTTGGAAATGAGTGACATCAGTATAAACTTCTTGGGCAGCAGTGGTAGGCAAATTTGACTGAAACCCCAGAGGTTCCTGATTTTACGGCACATGGCCTTCAGCCAGCAGGAAGTGCCAATCTTAGCTTCCTGGCCAGCCTTAAGCCAGCGGCAGGCAATGACACACCGGGAAAAATCTTTCAGTCTAGTATCTGGCTGCCCAGCTCAAGATGAAACTCACTATAATGATGGAGCCAGGATCTTTGGATATAAAAGCTATGATCACATTTTCTTGAAGATCCATAGAGCTTATGGTCATCAGCGTGGCTCCGAGGTTTTGTTCAGTTCAGCAGCCAAAAAGCCAAGTAGTGAGCTCACGATGTAGAACTGATTTGGCACAAATCTTGTCACTCACTTCACTTCAGGTATTATAGCATCCTTTTGTGGGTGACTTGGGCTGTACAGAAGAAAACAACGAGCTGGTGTGCAGATAAAATAACTAGCTAGCTCAGACTCTGCACTGCTCACACATGAAACACTGGTACCCTTTCTTTATTTTCATTCTCCCATAAGATAGTACGCATTCTTACAAGTTCCTGATATACTTATGTACCTATCTACCACGTTCCTGAGATAAGTGGCCTAATATGTTTCCCAGGTTAGGATTTTTTTTTAGGTTGGGATGATTCTGGTATACAGTCAAGCACTGAGAATAATTGCTTAGAGAGCAACTGGTTGTTACAAGTACCATGTTCAGACCAACAATGTCACCTGGACATGTGTTAGAAATACAAGTTCCAACTCAAGCTAGCTGGATATGAAAGTGGAGATGGTTCTATGCTGTGGAATAACCCTCTTGACACCATGAATATGTATTCTTCTCATTGGTTAATAGAGAATCTGATTGACCTATAGCAAGGCAAGACAAAATTAGGTGAGAAAATCAAACCGAGAAGACAGGGATGAAGAAGGGCAGAGTCAGGAGATGATACCAGCCAGTTGCCGAGGAAACAGGATGTGTAGAAAAAGAGATAACAAGCCATGAGGCACATGGCAAAACATAAATAAGAAATAAGTGTAAGCGTTAGCTAGTAGCAAGCCTGAGCTATTGACCAAGCATTTGTAATTAATATTAAGGCTCTGAGTGGTTATTTGGGAATTGGTGGGTGGGAAAGAAGCCTCCAACTGCAGTCCTAAAAATGTTTCAATAAGCTTCCGATGTCCACAGATGTTAAAGAATCATTGGACTAGGAAAAGTATGAATTTACTAGGACAGGTGTCAATCTGTTTCCTCATAGAACCAGAACCAGACTCAGATGTGGGAACACTTGTTTTATGAAAGGTAAGACACGGAGGAGAGAGAGTTGAGCTGCAGAGTCAGCCACACTGATGGCTGGAGCATTGGCAGAGAGCTAGCTATGATTTGTGTTTTACCAACATGTGCTCTTGGGATCTGGGGAGTTTTTTTTTTTTTAAGTATATATATTGTTAGCTGCTTTGAACTTCCTGATAAACTTATTTCTCTGGAAGAAGTGTTCTAAAAATGGCTGTTTTCATTTCAGTGTGATAGCATAGGATTTGAGAAGAAAAGACTCTGAACACTTTTGGCCTACTCCATAGAGCTAGCAGTAAAACACAGTGTTCAAGACCAAGTTCTGTGCCACAAAGTGAAATAGAATATGCAAATGCAAGAACCAGACATAGTCTCCTGGAAGAGGAGGAAGGGGAGGAGGAGGAGAAGGTGCTGGCCATTCTGACTAAATGAAAGCAGAGTGTGTTCACTAAGTGAAATGCTTTCTTCTCCCACTCAGCCAGGGGCCATTGAGACTGCAGTGGAAGACTTGAGGGGACACATTACACAAACTTCTGGAGAGACAGTTCAAGGCTTCTGGCTCCTGACAGAGTGAGTATATGGCTGTGTAAAAAAAAAAAAAAAAAAGGTGTGGGGGGGACTATGTTTCTTCATATCCCTGGGACAAAAGTGGAGATAAGTTTGTTAACGGAACTCTTCTGGGCTTTGTATATGGTGTTTTATTGATTTTCCCCCCTGCCAGACAGGGTTCTTTTAGTTGGTTGAATGGACACGTTTGACTGCAACTGTGATCTTTCTGGGCTGGGACTTCCATCCTGGGATCAGGTCTGTGTCCTGGCTTTCAAGGACTATTGGAATAGCTTCCTAGGTACCCAGCTCTGATCTCTCTCCATTGCAAGCATGCTTTCTGTAATGACACCAGGCTGCTGGTCATTTCATTCTAGGAGAAATGGAAAGAAAGAGGAAGAAAAGGGCCAGTTGAGGTCTAATATGTAGTTTGAGTTCTACATACGGTGTGGACAACGATGCTAGGGAACTCATGCGGTATAGGGAAGGCAGACTACTGGGGAACATTAGGATAAGAACCAAGTGAACATACAGGTCTATTGCTCATGTAGCACCATCCTTTTCCCTTGAAGACTTCCCTTAAAGGGAGAGTATCCCTTGTGAATGCTACATGGAAATAATTACCTGTCTACCCCTCCTAGAAACTGCCCTGCCAGTGACCTTCCAGCTACTAAAAAATACATATAAAAAGGCAAATGGGGGTGTCTGTCTACTATAGAATCTATAATATTAAGTGGGAATATTTTTTTGAGACAGAGTTCCTCAGTATTAACAGCTCCAAGCCGTCCTGGAACTTGCTCTATAGACCTGGGTGGCCTCAAACTCACAGAGATCCACCTGTTTCTGATTCCTGAGGGCTGGGACTAAAGGCATGCGCCACCACTGCTCAGTTGCGGAAATATCTTTAAAGACCCATCTCAATTCTTGACGGGTTTGGTGAATATTGTGTTTAGGCTGGGGAATCAGAGTTCCAGTAACCCAGTGCTGCATACGACTGAAGGAAAGGTGTGTCATCTTTGTCCCTTGAGCAGAACAGCTTTTCTGGCTGAGTTTCCAGAAGGAAATGTTGAAGGTTTAACCATCTAGGCTGTAAAAATGAACTCTCCAACAAGCAGAAAGGAGAATCAGCTCTCCGTGCGAGGAGGCCTGACTGGTTACCATGTTACCCTGCTCTTCCGAACACCTTCCCGAACAGGATGAAAAGAAACTTTTCAAGCATTTTGTCTTTTTTTTAAAATTTTTTTATTTTACTCTTTGTGACTTTATTTATAAAATGAGACTAAATTCATATCTGATGAGGTTTTGAAAGCCTAATATGAGATGCTTCTGTAAAATTCTTCACTGGTGCCCTCTCCTAGTCAAAGCACTATTTATTGATGACAAAGTAGTCTCCTCCCCGTCCTGCTTCTGTGCCTCGTACTTATTCATCCCCTTCCTGCTCATCCTTCTGCTCCTCCACCTCCCAGTTACTCCCCTTCCTCCTGTTCCTCCTCTTTATTCCTCCTCCTCACCTTCCTCTTCCTCCTCCTGTTCCTCCGCCTGTCTTTGCTCTGCCTTGTCTCCATCGCCCTTTCACTTTCTCCTGCATCCATTTGTTTCTTACCCATCTCTAGAATTTGAAAAGGAAAGCCTATAACTTAAACTTTTCACCAATTCATTTGGACAAATCTACAGTCTGCTCCCCTTCCCCACTCTTCAAGCAGTGAGCCATGTTGGACCCATGAAATGAGAAATCTGCTTTGGTTAGGGAAGATAAGCATTCAGATTCTGGAGATGTTGAATTCAACATGGCAACCATATTTATTTACACTGATATTGCAAAATTGGCAAACACAGCAGACCAAAACTTAATCTTCTAGTCAGTCACCTTATAGATTGTCTAAATTTGAGGCAGTGGTAGAAAGCATATTAACAGGGCAGAGAAAACTCAGGTGGGCCCTGCCTGTAGCTTTTACATCATGAAAAACTAATGCAATATTAGTTTGCCGTTCGGTTCACAGAGGCCACCGCTTCCAGGGGTGGAGTGGATGGAAAAGTTGGCTATAAAATTTTAGAAAGATTTCGAAGGTGAAAGTTGCGTGTTTGCAGGGCCTGTTCCAGGCTTGTGCCTGAGACTGCCTTCTCTGGTTCTCCCTGTCTTGCCTAGGCTGCAAGGTTTAAAAAACAAAATTCTTCCTCTTCTATCCTGTAATAGCCTGCTGCGCCTGTTGTCACAGAAGATTCACATGTTTCTGTCGGAGAGGAGAAATGCTAAGAACAGTGTCATTTATCAAAGGGCGTTTATTGAAGGATGCTTTGGGAGGCGAGAGGAAAAACTGATACCCGACATAGCCGGGCTTAGTGGATCTTTGCACTTCATTGCCTGTAAGAAAAGCCATCAGTTAACTTTGGGTTGGGGCCTGGAAGACGGATGAGTTGGCTGGGTCACCGTTTGTTTAGAAGGCAACAGAGTCCTACTTTATTGAAGAAACATTCTGTAGGAAACATGCTTACAACCCCATGAGATCCTTCCCTGAGTATTGCCATTCATCATTTACAGAACTAAAGACAATTTTGGGGGAAAGAATATGTCTGCATCATCCATGCAGAAAGGTTGAATATGTCATTCTACAAATGGGTCCAGATACTCTCATCAGAGAATGGGGAGTCAGACCAGCGTGACTCTTTCTTGTAGAAGGACTTCTAGGTAGAGCAAAGGAAGTAAAAATGCATTAGTAAAGTTGTCTTCTACATTAATCCGGGTGAGTCCCTTATGGGAATCTAAACTGATGTGTATACACTTTTCAGTAATAATAGAAAACTGAGTTCGAAAGCGTGTGGGAAATGGAGCAGACAGTGGCCCAAGAAGCTGGGAAGTTGAACCAGAGAGGGAGCCGTAAACGCCATTTAGATCCTAGTTTTGCTAAAATAGCACAAGCACTTGAGAGAAACTGTAAGGGTCCAGGCTCTCAGCCACCCTTTCAAGGGGATTTTTGTGCCTACACAGTTATAAAGACCAAATGATGCTCATCTCAACCCCTCTTTTCCTCTTTTCCTTCTTGGCATTCTAAAAGAGGACATTTTAAAAGTTTTTATACATACTTTTAGAAGATGTCCATTAATCCAGCAGCACCAAGAATATCTTGATGCTTAATGGAGTTTCAGACAGTGTGGCACGGTGGCAATGTGGCCTCTTGAGTCCAGTGCACTGCAGGTGCTATGTCCAGAAGCAGAGAAGATGGGCTCCTCCTCCACACACAAGGGTGAACGAAGGTTGGGAGAGACTGTTCTCACATCTGAATGAGAAGTCACGCTAGTAGTGGCGGGGCCAAGCCATTCTTGTTTTCTTCACATTTGTGAAAACCACTTAGGATGTGTTTCATTCCCTGCTTTTCCCCAACCAAGCCAGTTTCTGTCTCAGGACTTTGGTATGATGAACACATGAAATTGGATGAGTTTCCTGTGTCAGGCACACAGAGAGCAGAACACGTGTGGGGTGAAGCCACCTCTGTTCTCAGCAACGAAGGCGTGAATGTATAGCCGAAGACTTGGGTGTGGACCCTGCTTGCCAGGTCCTCTCACAACAGCAGCACAAATCAGCCCCCCCCCCCCATTTTCACTCTCCTGAGACAGGGCCTTGGATGTAGCAAAGGACAAAGCTGAAGCAATATGGTGCTATTATTGTTGTACCAAAATAAAGATAAGGAAACTGCTGGCATTATTTTAATCCCCCTGCCTCCATGTTCTGAGATGACAGCTATGCACTATCATCCCCAGCTTAATCTTTTTCTCTGAGCTAATGGATTTGGTTCAGCATATTGTTCAGTCCGTTAGAAATTAATCTGTGTTTAATCCATAACAGAAAAACATCCACTGTTAATTTTTGTAATATGTTAGTCTAGCTAGTTTCTGTGTTTTGCTAAAGATGGCTGTGTTTTAATAATTGCATTTAATTGAACAATTAAAATGTCGCCCACGTTGTGATAAGTGCTGTCCTTGCATTTGCCACAGAAAGGGTGGAATACATGCAATTTCCATGATCTCTAAATGGTGCTGCTCCAAGGACTTTCTTTGCATTGTTCCTAGATGTCATAGTTTTTGAAAGTCGCTAGGTGGCTTAGCTTTTATTTAACCATTTCTTTTTAAACCGCCAGTGAGTCCAACACAGAATTAAGTGTTTATGATGATTCTTTAATATCAAAGCATCCAGCCAAGGATGCTGGTGGAGAAAGACATTGACTAGAAAGGCATGGAAACATCCATCACACTATTTGACAACGAGAAAAAAGAAAAGAAATAGAAAAACACCCATGACTATCTCTGTAGCATTTAAAGTGCTCTTCTTCATGTGGTCTCCACAGTAACAATCCAAAAAGGAAAGCGTTATCTGTGTAAAGATGAGGGGGCCAGGCTCAGAAGAGGACCCTAGAGTTATAGTAGCAAAGATAAGGGTTCTGTCATGTCAGGACTAAAATGTGTACCTTGGTGTTGTTGTGAAGCCTGCTGACGGACAGGGTCCACTTCTTTCATATGTGACATCCCTTCAAGAGCCCATCATGGCTCCTTCAGCAGAAACATGGTTAAAAAAATGAGAATTCTGTTTATTTGCTTTGGTGGGGGTAAGAGGAAGTGCACAGGTCATCCCTGCTGACTTAAGAGAGTTTTCTCAGACTTGTTCACCCAGATCTTTAAATAAAACAAAGCCAGGGCCTTCAGGATGGCTCAGCACAGGATAAGTCTGGCAACATGAGTTCAATCTAAAAATCCCCACAGTGAGTAGAAAAACAGCTCCTTCAAACTGACCTTTGATCTCCACATGCAGACCATGGCACATGTGTGCATGCCCACATGCACGCGCGTGCGCGCGCACACACACACACACACACACACACACATACATAGCAACAACAACATAAAGAATTTTCAATAGAAATTTAAACAAAACAAAGTCATTCAGGGGAAACAGGGTGTACTGGCTTGTTTTGTGTCAACCTGACAGGCTGAAGTCATCAGAATGCATCAGCTATAAGACATTTTCTCACTCA